AGGCCCAGACATACTCATGAACGCCACGCTTCTAGCACTCTCCGCCCCCCCACCCCCCAAGAGCCCACTTGTGCCTCGCAGTTCTGATGGGAGTGGGGGAAGGAGGAGCGTCGAGTGGGAGCACAGATTAGTGAGGTAGAAGGGGACAAATGGGGAGGAGGGTGCCGACAGGCAGGCCATCCAGGGAGGGGAGGAAACCTCCTGCCTGAAGGGACATGGCAAACAGCCCACCATGCCACCCCCACCGTGGCCAACGCAGGCCCGAACCTCGCCTTGCTCCATCTCCCCCGCATGGCTGGCTTGCTGGCCTCCCGAAGTGGGGGCTCGAGATGGCTAAGGGCAGACTCTTTGTTTTTACAGGCCTGCCAAGAGGCGCCTGTCATAGTGCATTTAAGGCAATGGCTGTTGTCCCCCAGCTCAAGATGGAGTAAGTCACTAACACTGTTTCACGCCGCGCACATCCCAGAAGGGCGTGCATCTACTCCCCCTGGGCCCCACCGCTATCTTCAGTGAGGTGTTTCTAAAATGGGAGGGAGGAGAAACATTGCATAGAATGTCAATAGAGTTCATTGATCACCGCTGCCAGCGAGGGCAGGAGTTCTGGAGGAACAAAGAGACCCAGTCCACCTGCCGGGAAGGTACCTGGACTGGGGGGGGGGGTGCGGGGGGTGACTCTTGTCCCAACCTCTTAGGGCGTGACTGGGGCAATGACCTTAGGGCAATGAGCTGACGTGGCTCGGGCCAGGGAGGCAGACAAGGGGTTTCCTTCCTTCTAGAGCCGGCCGGCTGGGCCCGGGGGCGGGGGTGGTGGGAGTCCATGGGGAGGGTCTCTCAAGGCCACGGAGAGCGCAGAGAAACCCTCACCACAAAGCTCTGTAGCTCTCTGGGTCTGGACCACCAGCCAGCGGACCTGAATGTCCGCATCAGACAGGATGGTTTTTAAATGGGGAGAAAACAAAGATGCCAAAAGCAAGGACACCGGGCAGGGAGGCCACAACTGTCATCTTTTTGCCTCAGTCACTCTTAGAGACAGAGTGGCCGTGGTTTGAGAGTAGTCATACGAGTCAAGATGCTGGCATTTCCTGGAGACTTCTCCAAGCCTGCGTCCCGGGACAGTCTGCTGCCCACGAGCCACCTCGGGTGGTGATACTCCTCACGCAGGTCAGCTCTGAGAATAATCAAGTCGAGCTAGCGGGCTGTGGTGATCCTTTCTAAAGGGCCGGCGGGCTGGCGGACAGAAATCACAGACATCCCGACTGATCCAGAAGTTCAAGGTTGGCGGTCACCTGGGAGCCAGGCGGTGGAAGCGAGCGGGCCCAGGTCTGGGACAGAACCCGGGCACCTTCCACCTCAGATACCCCACAAGGGCGGGTGGGTAGGACCCAAGGGTCAGGAGGCTGAACGTGAACACTGATTTTATACCGAGCCTCCACTTAGCCAGCTAAGTAACGGCAAAAACCTTAAGTTAGGAACACTGCCTCCAATTAACAAAAAGAAGCCATTTAAAATGGTATAATGGTATAATGGAGCTTGTAATTAAGTGTTAGTGTTTTATACGGAACCGTGTTCCCCAGGGGAGAGGTACAAATCAGCTTTTTAAACTGATGGAGCATAAAGAGGAGGAGGTCGGCTGCCTGTGGGAGCTACTGCTTGGAATGCCAGCCAGCTGAAGGGAAGCCCCCCGGAGAGGATGCTGTTCAAGGCACTTGAATATTGCTTATCAAGATGAAAGATCAACCCTTAGACTCAAACTGAGGGGTGCAACGAGGAGGGGGGAACGCTCCCCCCGACCCCCTGAAAGGTTTCTGTTATTTAGTGGCAGCTTTTAGAAGTATTACAGACAGTGAAAGCTTAACACAAAAGATCATCGGGTTGGGATCACAATTAAAAAAAAAAAAAAATAAATAGAGAAAAAAATACAAACACAGAACCGCAAGCAAACTTTAACCAACTGATTGTATCGAGCACCCAGATGTAAGTCTGGCAAAAAAGGTAGAGTGGAAATCAACAAAAACCTAGTTTAAAAAAATAAAACAAAACACAAACAAACCAATGAAACCCAACAAAAAGGACTAAATCGCTTGGAAGAGCCAAAGTGGCTGTTTTAGACTGTTACTGTTTGGCCACTAGGATGGCCAAACCTCTACTTTCTCCACTTCCTCGGATTGAACACCTTTGTAAATAACAGTCATGCCTTTAAAACTAAAACACTACCCTTAATATTTCTGGTTAACTCCCCGCTTTTCATTCTAATGAAAATCAGATATTCAGAGATTCATCACACACGATGACAAAATTCCCTCGAGGTTTTCGTGGAGAGGACACCACAGTACTGTCAGGGGCTCTGCTACTCACTGTCCTAGGGGGTCACTAACGCAAACTTGCTCTTCTTAACGCACCTGCATCGAGCCAGATGGTGATCTGTTTCCCCTTAAGCTCCTCCATTTTAAATTCTCTTCTCACTGAACCAGGTATCAAGTTCAGAGATGATACGACCATCAAAAGACAAACAGCCTGCCTCCCAGCCTCCTAGAGCCTTCTGAAAACTTCTTATTCATGAAAAGGCATTGTCTTTAGTGTAGTGACTCTTAAATTTGTGAAAACTTGAACTAAGTGCTGCGGTTGCAGGTTAAAAGACTGTAAATGAACTACATAATTCCTAAAACATCATGCAAGAAATGTGGTTTCACATCTTACAGTCAAAGTCCTACAAGTTAATTAATACAAGCACACTGAGGTGTAATAGCGGGAGCATACCTTGAAAATTATAACTCCCTCCCACCCCCCCAAATCAAAAAAGGTAATATTAATTAAACTTAAGAAATAATGAATGCACCATTAAAATGCCATCCAAAGATGTTGACCTAAGACAAAGGTTTCAATGATACACAATACGGTCAAAAAGTTTTCAATCAGTAATATACAGTATGACAACTACATCTTGTAAATTATACCCAATACTGCCGGCAGTCTATCCCTCTAAAGAATATTTGCCCCTTTCATCCCTTCCTAACAATCAGATAATAAAATACAGCACCTATAAATAAGCAAAAAAAAATATATATATATACCGAAATCATCTATTGTTAGTTTAAAGATATGGCAATAAAGGAGTCTAAATTAGCAAACTTGTAGAAGCCGTAACTGATAAAACAGCTTATTGAAAAAAGGTGGCAGTAAATGCACTCTATGTGTGCACAGGTACTTAAGAAAATACACAGACGTATAAAATTGCACACACGCACACACGCACACTCTCATCCACCTCTATTCTCACGCATATACACATAGACAACAGGAGGAATCAGAGACAAGTTAGACTTCTGATTTGTACTTAGACTGCCCTAGACTGCATAAAAGAACTGTTCCAAGAGGCAGAATGAATGAAGGGCCAATGAATGGTCTGGTCTGGAAGTGAAGAGCAACAACGTTTTGGTGTGAGTGTGGGCCATCTCTACAGGGATGGGAGCAGAGCCCAGACTGCCACGTTCTCTCTTCTGCAGGGAAGGAAACTTCCCACGACGTCAACAGTCCTCAGTGCTTGTGGTGGGAAGAGCGAGCGAGCGAGCGAGCGAGCGAGAGAGAGAGAGAGTGCGCGCGTGCGTGAGAGCCCTGCCCAGGCCCGGGGAGCAGCGGCCCCTGGTGGGGCTCAGTCCATCAGGCACCCGGGAGAGTGCTGTGCGGTGTGCTGCCTTCTGTGCCAAGGAAAGCCTGCTGCCCACGCGGGCCGGGCCCCTGCGGCCCCCCCGACTGCCTGCTGCCACCTCGGCGGCCCACTCTTTCCTCCTTGCTTTACACGCTCGCACGTGTGCAGACGCGCTAACACAGACGTAGACACCATAAATTAAACAGAATGAACGGGGACATGCTACAGTTCTAACTTGTCTCCTAAACCTCCGAGATATGAGGTCTGATCAGCGTGCTCTGCGGTTAGAGGTTAAAAAGCAGATTATAAAATACCTAGATTCGGATCTTTTCTTTTTGTCCTGATTTGGCCTAGAATGGAGTGTATTAAACAGACCCTGGCCAGCAAAAGCCCAGAGTCAGTTAAAGCTATGGATCAATGTGCACTACATGTCAGGATTCTATTCACGTACAAGAAAACACTACGTCAGCTACCACAAAATCAGATAGTTTCCTGATGTGACTTTTCTTTTTGTTAAAAAATACGTGGAGTAAATGTGTTTTATTTTAATTCAAAGTTTCAAACGAGAAGATTCTTTACTTGAAAATATTTAGGAATCCAAACTAGTGTGTTTAGAGTCGGTTTGACTGTGCAATCTCTTAGTGGCAACTGAACAGCTACAAAAACTTTCTTTTTTAATTTTTCTGAAAAATCCCCCCTCCCCCCCTTTTTTTTCCTGGTTTAAGAAGATAATAGTGTATTATCGCTCTGAAGCCATTAGATGGCAGATAAAAAGCCCCCTTTTAATATGTGGGTTTGATTTTTTTTTTTTTTTTAAAGCCCACACGAAAGAGGAGGGCGCAAGGCAAAGCTGTAAGAGTTATTCCAGAACCTGTGGAAATCACTTAGGGCAATAAAAAAAACACTTCAGGGTACAAAAAAGCTCGACTACACATTTCCGTTTTCTTCCTTGAAAACACGACATAGATTGGGCTTAATGCTCCTTTGTTTTCTATATGCACCTTGGCCTATGGCGATTTTGCCCTGTGGCCCGCAGGGCGGTAAGTGCGCAACACGGTCCAGGCCGCGGAGTCGGCGCCCGCCCCTCTGCCCAGCTCGGCCCAGCCCGGCCCAGCCCGGCCCGGCCCCTGCCCGGGTTGGCTCGGCCCAGCTCGGCCAGACTCGGCCCAGCTCGGCCAGACTCGGCTCGGCCTGGTTCGGCCCAGCTTGGCCCAAACTCGGCACGGCTCGGCGAGACTCGGCTCGGCCCGGCCCGGCCCAGCTCGGCCCGGCCCGGCTCGGCTCGGCCCGGCTCGGCTCGGCCCGGCTCGGCTCGGCTCGGCTCGGCTCGGCGGGACGGGCGGGCGGCGCCCTCTCAGAACTCCCATTCGATGGGCTCCTCCCGGCTGGCGGCCTTCTCCAGGCGGTGGATTATGCTGTTCAAGTTCGCGGCCTTCTTCTTCCTCAAGGGGTTGTCTCGAGAGTCCCTGGCGCCCGCCGCCTCCGGGAGGCCGAAGAGGCTCTGCAGCGAGCTGGCCCTGCGGGCGGCCGCCGGCGCGCTGGTGCTTGGCAAAGCGGAACTCCTGTCGGCGCCGTCCCGGGCCCGGCAGGGGCCCTCCGCCGGCGGGGCGGCTGAGGTAGCGGCGTCCTCCCCGG